GAGGCCTCCATCATTAACCTCCTGGAGACCGTGTTTTTTTACAAGGTAAGAGGCAGATTCAGCTTTTCAGTGTAAAGCCCCTGAGGGTGCAAAGCCTTGTCTTGGGGGGGCTGGTCTTCTGTGAAACTCTTGTCATTGTGCAGGAGATCTGTGAGTCAGCAGAGGACAACCTTCTGGATTTGATTGACTATTGCCACCGAAAATTGACCCTGCTGGTAGGCCGGAGTGCCAATGGACAGACGGTGACCCTGGCAGAGCTTCATCCCCAGGATCTGCCCAGCCCTGGGTCCATGCAGGTGAGGAGAAAGTCCTTTAGCCCCCTGGGGACACATGTGATGGAAGATGCAGGCAGCCTGCAGAGGCACAGGGGCCTTTCCTGGGGAGAACCCCTCGGCTGCAACCCTGGCACCTCCCACCCATCCCAGAGGGTGTCTGTGCTGGGTGTCACGCAGCTGCTGTGGATGTGTTTTTCACAGAATCACCGAATCTTTTCCCCCAACTTCCTCCTCTCTGTGCTGGTCAGAACCACTGGCAAGCCCAGAGCTGTTCCCAACTAGGTGCCTTCCTGGTGCAGGAGCTCTTTGCTTCTGGGACTTTGCTTCTCAGCACCTCGAGTTTTCTCCTTCAGCTGTGCACATGACGAGGCGTGTCTGGAGAATCAGAGTTAAATCCATGGCCTGCAGGCTTGGCCCTGCCTCCCCGAGCCTCCATCCTTTGGCTTGTTGCCCCAGCACGTGCTCCTCAGCCAGAAAAGGGAAGGAAGTGGAGGGCTCTGAAGCACAATAGGGATGTTTTCCAGGAAATGTTTTCCCAGCTGGGGAAGGGAAGGGGGTGTCTGTTAGTGCTTTGACATGACTCAAGTTAAAACCCGACCTTTTCTAGCCAATACAGTTCTAAAAAATGCTGGTCTGCCAAGGAGCCTGGTTTCCTCTGATTCATTCCAGCTCCTCCTGACTCTGCATACAGTAACCCCCTAGAAAAAAAACAAAACAACCAAACTGTTCCTGCCCTCTCCTGTTGTCCTCTGTGACTGTGTATGGTGCTAACCCCTGGAGCAGGAGTTGTTCTGCTGTCCCCCAGATAGCCCCTGCAGGTAGCAGGGATGAGGTCTGGCTACTAGGAAGAGCTGCAGGAAACAGCCTTGCTGAGGGAGTTCGAAGAGGGGGCGGGGGAGGTTGGCAGAGCCCAAAAAGCTTTCTTGGTAGAATGTGGGGCACCAGGATGGGGAGTGCAGAGCTTCTCACCGCAGGAATTTGGAAGTGAATTGTTGCAGGGGCGCTATGGAGGAGGAGGAGTTGCTGAGGTCAGGCCTCTGCACATGATATGAGCTGCTGAGGATCTGGGGCTGGAGAGAAGAATCAGGGAGAAGGACTTGGCAACTCTCTCAGCCTTGCCATCCTGATAATCTTGGAAGAGGCTGAGTTAGGGGTGTCCAGGCTGTTAGCCTGAGTCCCTGGGGGATGAACAGGGTGTCCACACTGCCTGGGCAGGGCAGGAGGCTGGGAGGGCTGGAGAACGTGGCAGAGCTGTGGGCTGAGATAACCACAGGCAGATATTCTAGCTGACTGTCCACAAGCTGGAGGAGAGCGCCAGATCCCGGGGGGTGGATGTCAGACTGCAGCTGTGCCAGAGCCAAGTTTTTCCCTCTTCCTCCTCCTCCGGTTCCTCTGCTGATCATGCAGCTTCCCCCTCCCTCAACCTCATATGTCTCTGCAGAGTAATGGGCCACAGATGATCCCAGAAGAGGTAAAAAGAGCAATCTGGGACTGGCCCTTCAGGGGGTGTCCTGGTGTAGGGGCACTGCTGCCAGTTGCCACCTGTGACCTGTTAGGGGTAGGGAAATGGCCAAGCAATAGTGGGCACTTCTGCAGCTGCCCTGTCAAAGAGGCAGCACAGGCACAGTCAAGATGAGAAGCAGAGGTGGCTTTGCAGGGGCTCTGCTTTCCTGCCCAGCTGGTGGTTCCCAATGCGCAGCCAACAGGCTGCCTCCCTGTAGCTCCAGGAAATGGGGCCTGAAATCCTGAGGCTGTTCTTGTCTGCAGGAGCTGCAGAAGCTGGCAGAGACAATGGAGTTTGAGATTTCCCTGAAAGCCCTGTCTGTGCTGCGCTTCATCACCGACCAGGTGGAGAGGTAGGTGCCCAGGAGCTGCAGAAGACCTGCACCAGGCTCTCTGGCTGAGATTCCCATGGGGCTGCAGTGGGTGCCTGGACCCCTTTTCAGCAGCTGGGTGCATCCCTGGTGGCAGGGGTGGTATTCTGGGAGGCAGGCAAATGCAGCAGCACTCCCTGGAGCCCAGGTCATTGTTGGTCTTCCTGCCTCTCCCAGTTGCCTCAGGGAGCATTTGTGCCTGCTCTGGCATTTGTCTGGGAGCACCATTTCACCCTTTCTGCCCTCTCTCCAGCCTGCCCCTGAGCGCACTGACACGGATGCTGAACACCCACAACCTGCCCTGCCTCCTTGTTGAGCTGGTGGAGCATTGTCCCTGGAGCTGCTGGGAAGCAGGTACGGATCATGCCCCCTGGGATCTGGGGTGCTGGGACCTCCATCCACTAGCAGGTTTGCTGCAGGAGCCCTTGCTCCCCCCCTTCCTTCCAACCCCTCCCTTTGCTTCTCACCAGTGCTCCCTGCCTGAAGCTGTTCAGCTGGAAAGCAGCTGCTGCACAGCTGGGCTGGGAACCCAGCTCCCAAAAGCTGATCCTTGCACAGGGCTGTGTCTCCTCTGAGCTGGTCACAGTCAGGACAGGAGAAGAAATGTAACGTCTGCCAGCCCCACCTCCTCTTTTGAGGACCCTTGTCCTGGATGCAGAAAGACCAGAGTGCCACTCTCAGCCCCTCTGCACCTTCTGGGGACACTGCTGAGCTGAAGCCAGACATAGGCTCTCCCAAGCAGCAAACCTGTTGCCCTGAAGCTGCTGCCTCCCACACCTCTGCAGCCAGGCGTGCCCTCCACACAGCCCCAGTGTCCCCCTGCCTCTCAGCCCTGGTGGGACACAGCCTGGAGCGTGGGAACCCGCCCTCTTCTCCCCAGCCCAGCTCCAGGGGGGTCACAGCGCGGGCAGGGGAGAGAGAGATGCTGGGAAGCACGTGGCTCTGTGCCTGTCAAGAGGAGCCCAGCTGGTTGTGAGAGCTTTCTTCCTTCCTGCAGCCAGGAAATGCATCCCCTCTCTCTGTCTGTTCGCTCAGGGTGTCAGAGGGAGCTTTGATCCAGAGCCCTCAGGGAGGGACTGGAAAGAAACAAGAGTGCAAAGGCATTTCCAGGCTGTGCAGATGCAGGGTTACATCCTCCTCCACCCTCCAGAGCAGCACAGTAGCTCCTGGAGCTTGTTCTGTCACTTCTGTTATATTCATGCTACTTCTAGCTTTCACTGACAGAAGAACCTCCAGAAGAGCAGGCATCGGTCCAGTTGATACCCCAAAACATGCCTCTCCAGCCACTCTCCTGCAGCAGAATGGGCTCCCCCACCATCTACCAGTACTCTATGCTCCTGGCCAGGGAGATATTTTAGGGATCTTACTGTTCCTGCAACAGCACTTTTGGTTTACTACACATATATTGTTCATTACCAAGAGGGCTATTATGCTGAACAAAAGCGGGGGGAAAAAGAGGCAGCAGGAGCAGAGGGGCTTGTGTCTGTGAGGCAGTGAGTGTAGGACAGCATCCCCCCCACCCACCAAGCTGTCTTCCCTCAGGCAGCACTGCCTTCCCTAGGACCTGCATGTTCTTCTGTCCCTCAGGCAAGCTCAAAAAGTTTGAGAATGGCACGTGGCACATGGTGCCCCCTGAAGACCAGGTGAAGATGACCAAGCTCGATGGGCAGGTGTGGCTTGCCCTCCTCAACCTCCTGCTGACCCCTGAATGTCAAAGCAAATACCACTTTGATGGCTTCAACAAGAGCCAGCTCCTCAAGGTAGGGCCCTGTCCCATAAAAGCCATGGACCCTGCAGCATAGAGTGGGACCTCACCAGCACTGGGCACCTCTGGGCATCTCTCCCCATCCTTGCTGTGGGCTTCTGGCAGCCTGTAGTGGGAGAGAAGTGGGGTCTGTCACTGTGCCAGCAGCAGCAAAGCTGGGCACATCTGTGGGATACCTATGGGTTGCTCTAGCAGTGCCCCACAGGTCCCTGCTCTTGCCATGCTGCTTCCCCAGCTCTGACTCCCTTGTCTTGACCTCTCCTTTTCCCCTCCATGGCTGCAGCTCCGTGTGTTCCTGACAGACACCCTCATTGACCAGCTGCCCAACCTGGTGGAGATGCAGAGATTTCTGAGTCACCTCGCAGTGACAGAGCCACCTCCTCCCAAAAAGGATCTTGTTCTAGAGCAGGTATGCTATGTTTCTCCCTCCCTCTCTCCAACCTCTCTGCTTTGAGCCTGAAAGCTCCATGCCCCTTTTCCTTCCACCAACCTCAGCTCTGGAGACATGGTGCCCTGGTTCAAGCAGCCAAGGTCACAGTTAAACCCTTGTTTCCAGCAAAGTTGGCTGTGGATGACATGAGAGCCTTGTCTTGCTGCAGCAATGGCCAAGCAGTGGCATAAATGCTGGGTTATAAACAGCTCTCCAGATTGCATTGAGTACCCAGGGTGGTGGCTGCATGGGGCACAGACAACCCCTGGCTTGTTTTGACAATTAACTCTTTATTTATAAGTGTTTCTCTGCTGAATTCTTCACTCCCCAGTGCAGAGTCCCCTTTACAGCCCTGGCCCAAGGCTGCTTGGCACTCTGTGTGCAGAGGGTTGCCAAGGTCTGGTGGCAGAGGCTGGAGTCAAACTGATCCCAATTCATGTCTGGAGCCCTGAGGGTCTTCACACAGCTGAGGGTCCTGGGGGAAAGTGTTTCTCCTGCCTTCTTGTGAGCAGGGGGTAGAAACTGTGTGGGGGCAGATCTGCAAAGAGGCAGCTGGGAGAGCAGAGGCCCTTCCCAACTACTGGAGCTGCAGGGAGGCTCCATGCCAGAGCACATGGGTAGGGGGGCAGCGGGTGCTTAGGCCATGCAGAGGGGGAGCAAGCTGTGCCCAGCACAACTGACCATGTAGCCTAGGAGGAGGGTGGTGTGCCCCAGCTGGCTGTGGTGGAGCCAGAGGCAAGGCCCATGCTGGGAGCTGGGGAAGGCTGAGAAGCCAGAGAGCCCTTGGGGATGGGGATGGCAGCCAGGCCGAGGTGGTTATGGATTAGTTCCATGTGCCTCAACTGCCAGTGGGGCAGTAGGGCAGGGACAGGCAGCTGCCACCCTGGAGACCTTCTCCAGCCTGGCCCAGGCTGCTGCCCTTCTCTGTTGTTGTGCTGGTGCTGCTCCTGCCTCTGCTGAGTGCTGGGGCTGAGCCTGGTGGGCAGGCAGGGGCAGCCAGCTGGAAACATGCACATGGGCTCCCTGCTCTGCCCAGAAAGCAGTGAACTCACTCCCTGTAGCTGAGCCAAGCTTTCAAAAGGCCTCTTTCCATTCCTCAGCTCCCAGAGCAGCCTCTTCCCCTTCCAGGCCTGGCTATTTTGACTCTGCTGGAGAAGGCAGTGCTGTTTGAAGCAGCATCATCCTCTCCAGAGCCTGAGCTCCCCGTGCTGCTCTTGGCTGGTGCTTTCCCTTTCGTGCTGGCCAGCCCTTCCCAGCCCTTCCCCGGCTGTTCATCTTCAGGGAAGTGACGAGTGGAAAAATCTGCTCAGGCAAACGGCTCCAGAGCACGAGGTTCATGCTGGTGCTGGCATGCAGGGTGCTGAGATCCCAGGGCTTTCTGTATCTGTATTTCTGTACCTGGGCCTCGGGGCCGGACTCTTCATTCCCACCTGGAGCCCGAAGGTTTTGCCTTGTTTCACCAAATGCTTGTTAGTGAGTGGATCAGTCCCCTCCATGTACCAAAAAGCACAGCCATGCTCCCTGTGCCTTTGCCTCTGCATGTGCTGCCTCTGCTCACCCTTCTGGAGGGGGCCATGCTCCTTGTGCCCACAGTTTGTCCCCCAGATGCCCTCTGTACCACAACATCTTTGATCTGGCTTCAAGCACCCCTTCTTCCCACTCTGCCTCTCCCACCAGATTCCCTTCATCTGGAACCACATCCTCAAGAAAAATGCAGGGAAGTGGGAGGCCATCGCTAAGCACCAGGTGAAGCAGGTCTTCAGCTCCACCGAGGAGGAGCTGAAGCTCCAGGCACACAGGTAAGGCCCTGGCATGTGCACAGAGGGTGCTCAGTTCAGCCAGTATCCCCAGTAGCAGGGGCTGGAGCTTAGTACTGGCAGGACAGCGGTGTCTGTGGTACTGGCTGGGGATGTCCCCTGAGGGGCAGTGGGGACAGTTCACTGCTTGTTGATAACTCCCAGTGAGCACCCTCACCCTGTTTCTGCCAAGCACAGGTGGTCACAGATCTACAGCCTGGACATGCTGGAGGCTCTGGCCCCTGACAAGCCGCGCTGCGCAGCGTGCGGTGCCGGGGCGGCCAAGCGGTGCTCTCGCTGCCGGAACGAGTGGTACTGCACACGGTAAGGGAGCCCTGCAGCCCCCCCAGTGCCCCCTTGCTCCCCAGAGCACACAGACCTCACCAAAAATTCTGTGAAAGGACCAAGGGAAGCCAGGGCTCCCACCCCTGCTCAGCACAGCTGGCTCTCCACTTGCCATGTACCTCTCCAAATCCTATGTTGAGGTTGATGTGCCAAGACACTGGTGGAGGAGATGCTGGAGAGTGTTGTTTTACTGCTGCCAATGGGAGTGACAGGCTGTGTCTCCCATGGTGACACTGTCTCCTGAGCCTTGGTGGAGCAGGAGTGGGAAGAAAAGCACCCATGGCTCTGTGAGTCCAGGTGACAGGCTGGGATGTGGCAGCTGGGACAGTGGCAGTAGATTAAATCTTCTCTGGTTCTGAACCATATGGCCAGGTCTGGCTTTAAACCCTCTTAGCCTGTGTAACTGGGGGCCTCATCCACCTCCCTGTTGGGGTAATGCTCGGCCACACCAGCTCCTCCCTCCAGCGCCCAGAGGAGTGCAGTGCTGGCGTTTGTCCTCTTCACTGCTTCACTCCTGGGGATGGACATGGCCCTGTTGCATCCCTGCTCCAGCTGCAGGCACCCTGCTTTGTGGCTGAACTGCCTTCCCCTCTGCAGGGCATGCCAGGTCCAGCACTGGCAGAAGCACAAGGCTGCCTGCAACCTGATGGCCGAGGCACTGAAGAGAGCAGATGACCTGGAATAACAGGTGTGGCAGCTGGGACAGTGGCAGTAGATTAAATCTTCTCTGGTTCTGAACCATATGGCCAGGTCTGGCTTTAAACCCTCTTAGCCTGTGTAACTGGGGGCCTCATCCACCTCCCTGTTGGGGTAATGCTCGGCCACACCAGCTCCTCCCTCCAGCGCCCAGAGGAGTGCAGTGCTGGCGTTTGTCCTCTTCACTGCTTCACTCCTGGGGATGGACGTGGCCCTGTTGCATCCCTGCTCCAGCTGCAGGCACCCTGCTTTGTGGCTGAACTGCCTTCCCCTCTGCAGGGCATGCCAGGTCCAGCACTGGCAGAAGCACAAGGCTGCCTGCAACCTGATGGCCGAGGCACTGAAGAGAGCAGATGACCTGGAATAACAGAAGCAGTGACTGGCACCTAACCCATGGCTCAGCGAGGCAGAGGGCCCAGGAACCACATAGAAGGCAGCAAAGGCCCCTGCTGCCTGCTGCCAGCCCCAGGCTGTGCTGTCGGGCTCAGCCTCTCCTCCTCACCCCACCCTGCAGCCTTCTCCAATATACATTGTTGTGCTCCCCACTGCTGCTCAGCTCCTGCTTTTTTCCTCCTAGCTGAAGATGCTAAACTGCTTCCTCCCCTCCCTCACACCCAGGGAGAGGGAGGTGTGGCCATTTTTCCCCTCTGTAACAACAGAAACAACAGAGAACAAAAAAAAAAGAGCAAATACCCACATGGTTTCCAGGAAGGCCAAGCCTTTTGAGGCTGACAGAGGGAAGGATGCAAGGAGGCCTCAGTGTTGCCTCTTATCTTTTGGTCATCGTTAGAGTAGTGAGAGGAGACAAAGGATGTGGTTAGCACGAGCACCTCGCTGTGAGAAAGCAGATGAGTTTTGCTGGGGTGTTTCTCATCTGCCATCTTGCAGGGACTGTTTCCCCCTCTCCCCTCTCCTGAGCAGCGAGGGGCTTGGACCCCCCTGCCCACCAGCATCTCTCTGCAGGTACCCCATGTCTGATTGGGTGCATCACCTCCTCTTCCCAGCTACCAGCTGCTGCCAAAGGGCCAAAGAAGCCATCACAGTGAGCAGGAAACCATCTTGCTCTGGATGAGCAGTAAGGCTTGTAAGCTCCACGCCTTGAGCCCTGGCTGCTCAGCGGGAGCTGCCTGCTGACCGAGCACGGAGGGGTCTGGGCTGCTTCTCGTCTGCTGCCAGAAATTCCCCCAGCTCCTTTCCCAGCTGGGAAACTGAGGCACAGAGCCAAGCTGCCCCTACTAGAGATAGCGGGGCTGCCGGAGCAGGGCCCCCCCCTTACCCAGCAGCGG